ACGTTTTTTTTTTTTTTTTTTTATTTTTTTTTTTTTTTTTTTTTTAAAATTTTTTTTTTTTTTTTTTTTTTTTTTTTTTTTTTTTTTTTTTTTTTTTTTGAAAAGGTGCCACTTTAATTGAATTGAAAAAAGATATGTAAAATTTAGATAGGATGTAATATTGAAGCCTTTATGACATTGCAACTTGAGCTTAGGTAGCAGACATACTTTCATCCTTTCATAAGTGCGGTATGTGGTATTGTTTGCCTCCCGTAGGTGGCACTACTGATTACACATTTCCAAGACAAGATTTTAATGTTTACTTACAGTAGATATAATAGATAGAGATAATGAAGTGTTTGAATGATGTTTTCTAGTTTGATGGCCAATGTGAATGTAAGCCAGGAAGAGGTGGGCTGACATGTGGAGAGTGTGAGGCATTCTACTGGGGCAACCCTAACATAGCTTGCTATCGTAAGTATAGAAAGCATTCCACCCCATTTCAGTAAAGTTGGTCTTAACTTTAAGACTGAAGTTTTAGACAACATTGACTAAGAGTTTATCCATTCCAGCTACTAAGTGCGTAGAAATGCCATTTGTCTGAGAACACTAAAATTTTCAGTCTGTATAAGTTATGGAAACTAATGACATGAGAAGTCACTGACCCAAATCATGCCCTCTACTGGCACGACATAACTAGAGAGAAATTAATTTCAATCTAATTCATTGTGTCAGCTGTTTGAAATTAAACATATACTGTGAACATAAAAAACATAGCAAATATGCAGTACTCCCAACATCACATGTATCATAAAAAATGTCATTTGCTGTCCAATTATGCCCTGAAGTCATTGTAAATCTGTGATGTGCCTCAGATTTTTCAGTTTGTTTATGTCAGTTTATTTATTTCATTTCTATCCTATTAGCCTGTGATTGTAACCGGGAAGGGTCAGCCAGCCTGCAGTGTGACCGCCGTACTGGTCAGTGTGAGTGTCTGGAAGGGGTGGCTGGACACAAGTGTGACCGCTGCGAGAGGGGGACCACTGGCCAGCTCCCCAACTGTGTGCCCTGTGGAGAGTGCTTTGATAACTGGGACAAGATCATTCAGGATCTGGCGGGTAAGTTACTGTGTTCTTGGTTCATAGTTCATTCTGGAGATCAAATATGGCCAACCTACTTTTAAATTTTTCAGAAATAGAAATCAGATTGATAGATTTGTGTAGACTCAATGATGTGACAGACTAACCTAACAAAACTGTCTTGGTGGCCCAGGAACTAAAAATTGCTTCTTTGATTAGTGTCATCTTCAGTTTTAATATAAACAAATTAGAAATTTGTTAAAAGAATGAAATTCAAGATCTGAATACAAGGACCCATCAGTAACCCATTTCTTCTTCAGGAAGGACACGCTTGCTGATCCAAGAAGCAAATGAAATCAAAATTCAGGGTGTAAGCAAAGCCTACGAGCAGGTGTTCCGTGAGATGGAGAGCAAACTTGACCAGGTTCGCCAGCTAATCGAAAACGCAAATGTCTCTGTGGCTGATATTGAGGGGCTAAAACTTAAGCTGGAACAGCTCAGGTAGGATACATTGACATGTTTAAAATTGTGTGTACTTAAATGTTGGTGTCATGTATTTTTGGCCGCATCAGGTGTTACTAAATAAGAAGTTTTTAAATGATGTTTTACAAAGGAAATATTTAAAGAATTAAAGGAGAATTAAATGTCTGTCATGCCTACCAAATCTGCTAGGGGGTAAAGATAATTACCCCCTAACAGTTTTTTCTAGACATTATTATTAAGCCGGTATTTATATATACTTCATATCAATGAACAATCCAAGTACCTTAAGTTACAGATAAATGTTATTATATACATTCAGAACCCAGTTGGATGGCCAGGCCAACTCTGTTCAGGGAGTTGAAGATGGAGTGAAGGAAGCAGGAAGAGAAATTCTGAAGACGGAAAATAGCATTCAGGTTCTACGTCTTGGCATTAATGGACTAAGACAAGCCGCTGATGAACTGAAGAAGGAAGCTGAGGAACTGAAGGAACAGAATGTACAAGGTGTGTGTGTGTGAACTTTGTCGCACCTAACACAATTTGACATTAATTTGTTATCACACCTAACACAATTTGATATTATTTTCTTTTTCTCACACTCTGATAAGAGATAATAAAATTGCAGCTATAGTAATTCAGAGAGCTGTCATAGATATACATTTTTCAGAGGGGAAATTTTATAAACAATATTAAAAACACATTCTATTGGCCATCTCTTAAAAGGTGCGTTTGAAAGTTTACAAAGCAGCCAGAAAAGGTCAGAAGCGGCACAGAAGACCGTGGATGACACAGATGACACTGTTGCCCAGTCCAAACAGACAAGAGAACGGGCGGAGCAGTTCATGGCGGACAACCAGGCTGAGTTCCAGCGTAAGACGCAGGAAAACGAAGATGCTATTGAAGATGTGCAAACTGACATCGAACTCCTCGAGAATCAGCTGGCAGATGTTAACAACATGGTAAAATTTCTTATTAAAGAAACATTAATTGATTTATTTATCTGAATGTTAAGTTACTAGTATTCTTATTGAAGTAATCTGAAATGCACTTTTTCTTAAAAAATAAGAAGTTGATCCCAGTGCTCTTTGTATGTGTCAGATTCCAAATTTCCATGCAAATTGTGGATTTAGGAGTTTTCACATTCACGTGATATCTTTTAGTAGACCAAAACCATTTCTTGCCCTGGAGATTTGAACACTTAAAGATCTTTTTATTAATTCCTCCTAGGTATGTGATGGGCGTGGCACACCATGTGATGTGCTATGTGGTGGAGGAGGATGTGGCAAGTGCGGCATTATAGGTGGCGGTCAAAGCTGCGATGCAGGTGCCGTGACCAAGGCGAACAACTCCCTCTCCCTGGCTAAACAGACAGAAGATACTCTGGCAGAGAGGTCAAAGAATCTGCAAGACTTACTTGGAGAGGTAAGAATTGATATGATGTATTAACTTATGTGCAGCCAGGCAGGTCTTTATGTCGAAAAAATTGATTAGTGTAATCTTCTTATACTTCTTATACGTAATCTTCTTAACTGGCCATTGAGGTCAGTATCTGGTACAGGTTCAGACAGGTCTTGGAGTGTATATATTGAAGAGAAAGGTGAATATGGGCAGTAAATGAATACATGGAATATACATTACACAATTTGGTACTGTGCCATTCATACTTCATTGTTCAAGCTGTCCCACAATCATATTTTCCGTCTACATCTCTATTAAAAGCTTCTGGGCTTTCTCAATTCAGGCCTTAAAAACCATAAATCCCTCAAATAAAAGCATGTGATGCCAGTATTTCCTACTAAAGGCAGGCACAGACAGTCTGCGTATTGCAAGAAACATTTAAAACTTAATTATTTAATTAAAATGGTATGAAACACCAAATTTAACTGATATCAAGCAATAATTCATGATTAGGCGAAATTTACTTTTTATCCAAGGAAAAATTGGTAGGAAAATCCTGAATATAGGATTTTTGAACATCTCAGTTGTAACTGTTCAACTTACATCTGCAGTGAACAATTACTGGTTGTCTTTAGTATTTTAAGCTTTGGTAAAATCATCACAAGATAACAGGATTAACATGTAGTTTTTACTGTTCTAGGTAGAAGCAGTGGAAGCAGATGCCTCAGTGGCAAAGAGCGAGGTACAGGCCGCATTTGACAAAGCTGAGCAAGCCAAGAACATGTCTGAGTCATCTCGAACAGAGTTACAGAAACTACTGGAATCAATTGCAGAGTTCCTCACCAAGGGTGGGGCTCGCCCAGAAGATATCCGTCAGGTCGCAGAAGAGGTTTTGGCAATGAGTATTTCACTGACACCAGAGGAAATAGAAAATTTGGCTGCGGAGATTAACAAAACTGTCATTGGACTTACCAATATTGACGAGATTTTGGATGCCACCAGGAGTCGGAATGAAACGGCTCACAAATTGCAGGAAGAAGCTAAAAAAGCCAGGTGAATTACCAGAGTATCACTTAAGAACTTATGTAATTTTAGAACAAAAAAATTGATACACTTAAGGTAGAGATAAATTCATACCAGTCCACTGAAATAAAATTAAAGTTTTGGTCTAAAACTTAAACAATGGAGTCTTTATGCCATAAAACAGATGCAATAGTTAATTAACTGGATCATTTCTGATTTTACTTTGTGTCAAACACCGTCAAATATTGCTTTCAGTGCTGATGCGGCCACCATCTTGGACACAGCGCGTAAGGTGTCTGACCGCCTGGACTTGGCCGAAGAGGCTCAGGACAAAGCCCAGAAGGCTATAGACCAAGCCAATGAGAATATTAAGGAGGCAGAAACACATCTCACTCAGGTATAGTATTTGGGCTGTTGTATACTGAACATCAGTAGAAATACATGTTATTCCGAGTTTTACACATGTATGATTAATTTACTTGGTAGTTCACATTGATTACTAGTTATTGTAATGAGTTTATATATATTAAAAGTAAACCATATCTGAAGACAAAAGGTGAAGTTTTTTTCTGATGTGTGCATTTTCCATGATACCTAATGTATTGGTGCTCTTTTGATAATTTATCTGTTTAAATAAGATGCATTTAAATGTTATGTCATTTGAAAATTAGACTCTCTGTAGCTTCAGTGGGGTTTAAGCTGTATGTATTTTGAAATGCCATTGATCACATTTTTATGTACANCCTATGATGACCATTTAAGGGAAATCATGTCACTTACTGTTCTCAAACTTATAGGAAAGAAATATGGGACTAAAATACAGCTTCAATAGGCAACGCATACTGTTTGGTAAATTTCTCTGGCAGTTTTTTGTGAAAATTTAATTTTTCACTTATTTGCATCTTTATTTTCTGTTCTTTGTCTGTACATTTGACAGCTTTGCTGCCTTGTTAAACAAGTAGTTTTTAAACATGGTAGTTTTTTGCAAATGTATTTTTTCTCATTTCTGATATTGAAAATTAAAATTAAAGAAAATTATTTAAACAGTACATACTTTGTTCTTTTTGAAGGGGTTTCTGGATGTAATAGTACCAAATTGAAATCATCTGTTTTATTCCTTTATTTCTGCAGGTTGAATCAGAGACGGATGCCGCACTGGGCAAAGCCAATGCTTCCCTGGAAGCTGTCCAGAACTTGACCACAAAACTGGAGGATGTCAAGAAGAAATATGTCCAGAATGAACTCAGCGTCCAGCGAGCCAAAGGGGAGGCTGACGGAGCCATGAAAATGGCCAATAAGGCAGAATCTGTGAGTTTGGCAAAGTTTGGTTTTCAATCGAATATATTTTGCACTTTTAAAACATGTTTGCAGTATTTTTTCTGGTTTGTGACTTGAATATAAGAATGTATCTTTCTTAATTCATTAAGTTTTACTGGTTATAATCCCAAGTGGAACATAGCTTTAGGAAGCAACTTAGTTTCCAAAGTGATTGATTATTATCACTAATAGCACTGTAAGATGTGACATTGTGATTGTTTTTTTTTTTTTTTTGTCAGGATGCAGCAGACTTGGAGACCAAGTACCAGGATGCTTCTGCTCAGCTAGAGGCCAAATACAACATGACCAAGGATGCAAAAGAGAGAGCAGTCCAACTTAAAAATAATGCAACAACTTTGGCACAAAGTACTCAGTTTAAACTGTACCAACTTCGAAGTAGGTTGAAAGCAAATTCTTATATAGTTGAACACTTTTTTGTCAGTTATAGATATTTAATGTAAAGATAAAATATTTTAAAGTTCTCATAAATGTATTTTTTGTAGAAAGCTATAAGGCACTTAAACATATTAGTTTGTCTGCACATAACTTAAATGTTTATTTGGTTTACATAAATTACTGAATGTTCATAGTTTCTTCTTGCCAAACAGAGCATCTGACCTCAAACCTAAACAAGCAAAAAAAAAATTAAAAAAGAAGTGAAATTCACTCATTTACAATGAACTGCTTTGTTCTTCAGCAATGGAGCGAGATTTCATGGAAAGAGAGAAGTCTTTGACAGAGCTTTCTGGCGAGATTGAGGCCCTGCTTGCACGAATGAAACTTCTCACTCAAGAAATCCAGGAAAAGTCTGATTTCTATCGAGATTGCCAGCCCTAATAAGTAATCTGGTGAATCAAACAGTGGATTAAATAGTAGAGAAAAAATTCAACATTCATCTGACAGGTCAACGGAACTCTTCTTGGGATTGAACTCTAGGTAACCTCCAAGCCAAAAGGTCAAATGTTAACTTTTGGGACGTTGTTCTGTGTTTCTATGTTTAACTTATTAAAACTGAGAACAGGTCACATGGTGCTCCATCATGTGCTGCCATCTATACTAGTGTATGTAAGTAATAAATGATGGAGAAATGCTTTTAGATTTTATTGTTATAATTAAGTCATTTAGTAATTACTCACAAATTTCATACAATTCATATATGTCCGATTTTTCCAGAAATTTTGAAAGTGTGCTTTCATACATATCCAACAAAACCATTTAAGGAAGATTTTTTCAGATAATTACTATATATGTCACTTCCTTAGAAGAATATTTGATAGAAACAAAGTATCAGTTACAAATATTGATATTGATAAAAGTAAGTAAATCTTAAGGAGAGCATCAAGCCATTGTTTTTGCATTATAGATACCTTGTGTCTTTTTTGTAGTTTTTCCAAATGGTTAAAATGGTTGTTCCATTTTCTCCAAACAAAAGTTAGAAAAAGGCTGTATAGCATTCCAATCTACTTGCCCCTACTTAAAGTAGGTTTAAAATACAGCACTGTCATCTTACGTGTAATGCCAATAGTATTAACATGGAAAGAATGTGTTCATTTATATAAGTGTAAATATTTCTAGGAAAAGTTTATTGCATGTAATTATAGGGTGCAACTTATATTATGTCCCACCGCTAGATTTTTTGATAAATGAATTGTATGATAAATTATACAAATGATAACGGTGAATTATTCCACATAACTGCTCTCCAGTCTTTGTTTACTAGATAACAGAGGCACTGAACTGTAAATCATACTTTAAAATGGATTGGATATTTTTTAATTTTTAATTTGTTTACTTGAGGCACTGTTTTCTCAAGGAATAAATAGGCTTGGTTTCTTTATCATGTTATATAAGAAAATTGATTGGTACATTGATATAGCTGTAACACTGCCAGGGTTTTTTACTTGACCCAGAATCTCGTGTTTACGCTTTTTAAAACTCGTATGTTCTGTCAGCCCATTTTAAGCACAGTCATGCCTATGTTTAGCACCACTTTGTATCATGGTATCATATTGACTGAAGCAGTTGGTGAAATCACATACATATGATACTTGAGCATTGGATTTAAGTTTTACTGTACACTTTAAATGAAAGTAAGAAGTGTAAGCTGCACAACCAAATAACTGGCCCACACATTCTTTATTGTAAATTTTAATTTGAGTGTGTAAGTGTA